TTCATATTCTATAAAGGTAGTCGTTGCAGCACTACACTTTTTGATCCATATTTGCTAAACACTCCGTTAAATGCATGGTGATTTGTATTTTTTTATTATTTTTTTTTCCATTTATACTCGTACGGTTACGTCTCACGTGGTTTATTTGATTGCGTTATTCAGGAGGATTAGAATGTGGAGGATATTTTCTATTCATGACAATGTATGAGGGTATAATACCATACACCGTCTATGACGGATCCCTTTAGAGTAGGTAAATAAATCTCTACACATTTTGATATCACATCACTGGAACATGGATTTTCACGTTATGATTTACTACAAAGATACTTTGTATTATCCTTTTTTTGGACTCGTTGGTTTCACGTCAATATCGTAAACTCGGTCTGACAGAAAACGAATTACTCCTAAACAACTGGATTAAGCGACGGCGACGATGAAGTCAATCGTATACGAAAAACGGTCGACCGAATTGTGAGCGTATACAGGCACCTTGGTCATCCAGTTCCCAGAAAAATGGGGTATACCCATGGGTCATTATTAAATATACAACTGGTAATTTTGCCTCAGATTGATCGAAAAAACTGGCTGTCAAAAGGTTTTTTCTAGGGTCTCAGATATATAACATAATGCTAAGTTATGTAGCCAATATGCCGTTATCATTGTTCGGGGGAAGAAACCCAATAGCTTCGATATGAATATAATGTTACTGAAACTAAAAATTTGTTCCAAATAATGCTCATAACCTGTATTTTAAATTATTATTATTTTTAATATTTTTCAAGTAACTTTTATTATCTAATTTAACTTATTTATAATATGACTTATTTATATTATCAAGAATATTTATAAACTACACACGAGTTTCTCTCAGCGAAGTCCAGTTATATTTCTGATTAAAAACAAATAAGTTACGATTGAAGCTGTCGGTCGAATGTTTCTCTAATCTAGTGATGTCTGCAATGACTGTTATAACTTAAAAATCCATAAAAATAAACAGTTATCGATTTTATGTGTAAAAAAATCTCCCGAAAAAAATATCCTATTATGTTTTGGCTCAAGTTTGGGTATTTTTTCTTTTCGTGTGTGCACAGGTTTTTCGTGTACAGGCTTAAGCATGATCGATAACGTACGTTACTACCAGGACAACATATTTATTAACATGTACGACCCAGTGCAGCTGGTAATAGAAATAAAACACTAAGAACGCCACTGGTTTACGAGGACATTTTTTTTCCACTCGTTTTTCAAACGTGAGCAATAATAATGCTTCTCGTGCGGCGGGATCGCAGGTCATTTGTCACGTCTTACACGGTGCCTTGCGCGGCGTCCGTCAAATACGTCAGGTTGGGATATTGCGACATAGCGGATTCCGTCTAATGTGAACACCGATTAATATGGGCTCTCGGTACGGTTTATGTGAGCAATATTAATTTTATTATAGAGTCAGAGTACGTATTAAGAGGGCGCAACAGTAAAAGTAAACGCATTTAAAGATTAAAATATCATACACATTTTCACATGACAGGGGGCGCATATTATTTAATTTTAAAAACAAAATTATAGGCTTGGATATTATTAAGTCGTATGAAAGATGCGGGATCCTGGACGGTTGCCCCTTCTGCCCTGCCCTTCCGAGGCATGGTAACTATATTATTTCACATAGTTTCGTTTCCACACTATTCGTTGATGCAAAATATCAATTTTGATAACGAGTGCGATGCATACATTATCACATATCGATATACTATAATAAATATTCGTATGTAAAAAATGTTTATTATTGTACGAATGGTTCGGTGATTCCGAGTCATGAAAGGACGAGGGTCGAGGTTTTCGAGAATATTGTCACGAATGAACATACACGTGCACGTGGCCGACTCGGGTAAAAATAACAACATGTACATTGGATATAATAATAAGATATAAGAGAAATAATGATGATTCAATTCATAAACTCGGTGTAGGTATTATGTCAAAATTAAAGTTTGAAGGATCGATCGCACTGCTAGCCAATGATTGGTGTTATCATTTGTTAACTTCCCAATGTATCGTCACTGAAGTTATAACGCGAATCGTGGGTGGGACGGGACGCACTATTTCTTGACGTGTGCGCATGGCGAAAAGAACCTCAAGAAATAGTAATGTAGATCAAATACGAAACGTTCTACCTCCGCGAGAAAGAGTAAGATTTCGGGGTAGTTTTCAAATCGTTCTGAAACACCGTAGTTTAAATGTATTCGAATTTTTCGAGTATTTCTAGTTTCTAATAAACAGCGGTATCGACGGAGATTATTTATACAAAAAAAAAAAACAAAAAAATTGTGTTTATACGTCAATTTCACCTACTTTAAGAGCAAAATCCACGCTTAAAATTTCTGATGAGCTCGAAGAGATTAACGGATAATAAAAGACCGAATATTCTGGAAAAATAAATTGTTCCATCGATTTAGGGAAAACGTACAGGTATAGTCGAATGGAAGTATAACATAATGCTATTATTTCGGTTAAAAGTTTTAAAAATGTTTACGCGTAACTAGGGAAAATGCTTTGTCTCACGTATAAGCCTTTATCGTGAAAATTAATTCAACAGATTTCCCTTTCTTCTTCTTCTCGTAACGCCAAGCACAATACCTGTATAATACGCTGCATGTATAGGAGAAGGCTGGTGCTGCTGATGCTGCTACTTTCAATGCATATTGTTCTGAAAAATAGAAAATAAAACGTTGATACGTGATTGCAAATAAAACACTGTTGTATTCGTAGTGGATGAGGATGACACACTTCCTAGGTGGTCGTGGGTTTTTCTTCCTCCGACGAAACAGTTTTCAGAAAAGTAATTATAGTTATTTGAAATTTCCGAACACCCTTTGTTTGTTAATTAACGATGGTGTATATCGATCGTCGTGAACGGGATAACAAAAAAATAAAAATAAAAAGTTTGCTACCGACAATGTTTATAGCACGACAATTTAATTTGTTTATGATCTCCGCTCATCAGTATAAGATAGGGGGCGATAAAACCATGTCGGATTCATTTCCGTAATCATTTCGAGAGAAAGGGTTAGGTTCGACGTCACAAGTCGATTATTTTTCTCCTTTCCTAAAAAAACACCGTACTCCTATATTGTTTTCTCATTCACTGTGTACTGTGAAACGGCAACGGCGGCAGCGGTCGCCGAACGCGAGATCTCGATAGAAAAATATAATCGATGTAAAATTTGTACGTCGGCCCCGAATCCTTCGCTTTTCGCTAAAATATGACCGAGCAGTTTTTTTTATTAGCCCCAGGTTTCGCGTTCATCGTTTCCCCAGGCATTTCGGTAGAGCCCTAAGAGAACGTGACTACTATTATACCCTCCAACAAGTTACTGCATTTGTGTAGATGAAAGTAGAAACCGTTCAATACAGATACATTTTTTCCATTTGTTGGTATGACGTAATCATAACATTTATCGATTAACATACGCACTGTTGCTCGCGAATCAGTTAACATAAAACATAAATCAATCGTGAACGTTGAACGATATTCGCAAAAAGTTGAATGGTAAACCATGGTCGAAAGGATAAAATTATTTATATTCACATACTTGGCCCGGAAAAGAGGAAGGTCATTTCTGGTCGAAAGAAGCACTGTTCTGTATGAAATATCTAAAAAATGGTGCAGGAATTTGTCGTACATATTTTTTATTTATTTAGATTCTAAGAATAGATCAGAAGAAAAAAAACCAATAAACGTAATGAAACAGGGTTGTTTTTTAATACATTTAAAAGGGATTGGCTATAAAAGAATAACGATAAATGGGCAAATTTCGTTATCGGTCAATAAATAATATGTATGAATGAAAAAAAGGTTAAAAGTTACTTTTTACATGCAACGCTTAAAAAATAAAAAATAAAAAACACTCGTCTCGACGTTTAACGTTAATATTATTACATATATCAAACAAAATTATAAAATCGAATTGCGTTATTGTAATATAAGCGCTCTGAACGAGAAAAATTTAAAGATTTCATATAAATACAAGACGATTTAGTTAAATCGCTTTAAGAGATAATCCACGAGCGAAATTTAAGTATACGATGCGCAAATGATGAATGTGTCTTACTTAGTCCACACGAAAACGATTATTTAAAATGAAAAATATTATTGCGCAGACAATTATAAAATCAATAATAAATATTTCCTAAAGCCAGTACCTAGTGACTTGCGTAAGAGTGCTCTGGATTTTTAAGTTAAAAAAAAAAACGAAAAGGTATTTATTAATATACGACACATGCATTATCGACAGAACATTTAAATTCGTATATTATATATAATTCGTAAATTTAATCAATGTTCATGGGTAGTTTTTAAAACGAGTGAAAAGCTTAAGCTGTCTACGCCGAAGGACATGCTTTATGGGAAAATACTTTTTAATGTACCTCAGATTGATTACTTACACGAGGGAGCGGCGAGTGGACGTATTCTCTCGACGTTCGCGATTGACATAAGCCAATGGAAGTTTAGAACATATGATAATGTATTGAAAAGTAAAAATATAAACAACACAATAAATTCCGATTATCATAAATTAGATTTAATGAAATTCTTATACACGTATAATATATTATATATTAATAATAATGATGTTTAGAGAATATACTTAATACTTAATAAAAACAAATTATAAACACGAATTGATGGTTAGTAACATTTTAAAGTAAAAAAATTAAGACGATAACAACGTTTTGTGTAACTATATGTACCTACGAACAGGGTATTGTATAGACATAAAAATCTAAACAGTTATCATATAAATAATATTACAATAAGTAATATAGGTAATAATAATAAATAAACACATATATTAGTACATTACAGTAATATGACGATGATGTTGATATAAAAGTTGTTGGTTACTAAAACGAGTCAACTAAACACGAAGTATACAATTTTTTAAATTTTTTTTTTAAAAAACAATTATTTGTACGATAATATAAAGATATTGAAAAAAATAAAGATCTACAAGTATATAACTATTAAACTATTTTAATACTATAGAAATATAGTTTGCTAAAATAGAGAAAAAAGATGGAGAGAGACAAAAAGAGATAAATTTAATAATAGTTAACACTAAATATTGAGCTTTAATCGAAAAAACTATACGGCGAATGGAAAAATTAAATGAAAATTGTAAACAAAAACCAAGAGCCGATGAAAATAATTTCCTGATATTTCATGATCCAATTTCAACGAATAATGCGCCGTTATCACAACATTTAACAAAGATTGTTATGTTACTTCTTGTGCAGTAGTGGTGGTATAATATTATAATTCATCGATGACAATAATTACGAATACGATCTATACGATATATATATATATATATATATATATATATGATAATAAAATATTAATCATTATTATTATTATTATAACATTATTTATCAACATATTATAGTATATTATAACAACCCTGATCCTAACCCAAAAAAAAAAAAAAGATTGTTCTCAATCAATCAACAAGTGTGCGTTTATGTTCATGTTTTATATGTATGTGTTTGTGTGACGAAAGACGAGTTCATATGAGAGCAATGCGACAGACGGTGGCGGTATGAGATATTCGTCTTCATTCAATAATAATAATAATAATATTAATAAAATGTACATAATAATTTAATAAATATAAACGATAGGGAAAACATAAAAAAAAATTAAACATACGAAATTATTGAAGCGTTCATTTCCTTGTTTCGAATATTTTTACGTATTAAAAAGTCTTAAAAAGCGTATTATAAACTGTTGTAATAGCGGAGATATCATAATTTTCATATCCTAGTGTAGGCATTTAATATAATATTATGTAGAACGGTATTTCGGTGCACGCAATGTTAATACTCTAACCCTGTGTCGAGATTAAGTCGCCTAAGAAATATATAATACGAATGAACAAAATAAATTAAATAAAATCGACGAGAAGAAAACCGGCATCAAATCTTTAGCACCAATTAACATGTATACACGAAATACGACTAAAATAAATTATAAAACGAAAAAGAAAAAAAAAAACAATAACATCAAAATACGATGATATCGTATATACTGCATTGTTATTAATACTGCGCGTCATTTTACGATCGCCCGAGCGCCTCAAATCCTGTTGGTCGTGGTCTTCTTACCACCGCCGCTTCTGACGACGTCCCGTAAGGACTTAAGCCGAGCCATCAGTTCTGACCATAGTCCCTGGGGTTCCGCTCCCAAAGAATCGGAGCCGGCTAGTGGATCGAACAGCACCTGAGACCTGTGCGGTGGGATGAGTGGGTCCTTGAGTCGCGCCAGATCAGTCTGCACGCAGGACATCTGGTCCTTGAGCTGGTTGTACATGTGCAAGTCCAGACCGGATTTCCGTGCTTTCTTGTGCATTGTTATCAGATACTGGCGATCACGAACGTCCGGCATCAGGTACTCCTGCGAAATAGATGTGCGATGTATACCATATATTAGAACATATTCAGGTAGACGCAAATGTTGGACACTCGCGGGGAGAAAATTTAAATTAAACGCGCGAAAAATTATAAAATGTTCGTATTTGACGCACAAGCGTAATGGGTAATGGACATTATTCGTATTAGATCTAATATTGACAAATGGCTATGTAGAGTAGCCTCCTATCTTTATTTTGACGTAGTAAACTTGACCACAATTAATGTTAAATGCTAAGATTATATTGTGGTCGAAAAAAACAAAATACTTAGTCCAATATTAATACAGTGATTATTTTACAACACAAGTACTATTATATCCTTATACGTAAGGACGTGATGTTTTTATGTTGACTTTTTTTCCTCGTTCTCACTTAAAATTAACCGTAATACTAGGCGTCACGTCGGCTCCGATATTACGAGTATATAGGTTATGTATATATTAGTTATTATGCTTTAAATTTCCGTGTTAATTCGTGCGAATTTCCATTACTTTTAACGAGTGTTAGAACGGTTGATATAATGTACAACTTCTTCCGACGTTTGACGCGGTCCTGCTATGGTGTAGGTACATTAAGTACACCACTCTTTACCCAGCCACAATCCGGAAAACGACAACACCATTTCCGATACTACCCACCTACCTAGGAAAACCGGACAGAGGTGGGAAAAGTTATCTGAACCGGTGGTAACGTACCGACCTATCCCCTCAAAGCATTAACCTTTTGCCCGTGACCATCGTGGAAGTCACATCTTCGTACTGTTTTCCACCACCGTTACCGAAGCATACTCACCACCAACGGTCCATACCACATTAAAACACCAGAGCTCGTCCAATCACTGAAGTCCAGCAACGTCAAGTATCGGCAACCACTTCCGAGGTTAATCGCGTGTCGTGTCACGTTCAATTAGGAACAACATTAACATTTTAGTAAACGGTCACGTTAAGGATTACATAACGATATTGTTACTCAGAATGGTATATGGACTTACACAATGTACTTTTGTCATAAAGCTTTTTGTACGACGTGTGTGAATTATCAATAGTCAATCACTGAATTATTATAAAAGTATGATATCGAACGTTGCACGGAGGAAGAGGGAGTGTAACCGCAGTTCGATTAACGAGGAGACACCGTATGGTCCTAAACGGTTATACTATTTCGTCAATACGCGCATACTATACGCGTTTTCATTCGGTCATTAGTGATAAGAAACATGGAGATTACATTTCGATTATTTATGGGCGCTAAAATTTTTTTCATTATACTTACATTTTTCCAAATTTATTTATTTGGGAGAAAAAACACTCAGTTTGCATCGATTGTGCTACGATTTTTTACGGGTGAATAAAGAGGTAAGTATGTATATCGTACGAATTTAAATTAAACCGTAAACAAGTTAAAAATATACTGCAAGTAATACCAGGGATCTACGGAGGAAGGGAAGCTGAGGATTTAAAATAGATTGTAAAATGTTCTCAATTATTAAAAGTGTAAATTGTATTTTTTAATTTCTTTTTACATTCTATAAAGGCGAAAAATTAAATATATATAGAAACATTCATATTCAATAAAATTTAAAAAATGAAAACTGTCTTTAATTGTTAAATATAACGAACAACATTATCGAATTTATTTTAAAATGAAAGACTGTTCTTCTAAATCAATAGATTATTGCCGTATATAAATTAGTAAAATACAAACGCATATCGTTGAATATTTTCTTTAAAATTATAAGAAAAAGTATGTTACCTAGCGAAAAGAGGATATATTTTTATTTCTTTACCTAGGTGTACCTAAGTCTGTAGATCCTGCCCTATACCTAGGTGTACACGGAAATCAACACGCGCGATCCATTACTGTAACAGCAGTAGTCGTGTGTGCCGAACATTGCTGCTCATATTACTAAAATGTTTATGGGGAGACTAAAAACACTTTATGTAAATAAATTGTATCCGTGATAGCTTTTTATTAAATTGTGTTTGTGTAGTGGGTGGAGCTACACACTGGTATTTTATATCGCCATTTATTACCATATAATACTTTTCAAGTGTCATTGACGTATCTGCGAAAGGGAAGTTAGGTTAGAAGGGACTCGGTACCATGTAATCTATATACTATGATTATTTACATATTTTACATATTTGATTTATTATTTATTTTCATTCATGAATATACATAATGCATATACTCCTAAACCACATAAATCGGAAATAATAAAATGAATACATTTTTGTTATAAAATAAGTACGGAAATGGACGATATGGCTGTCGAATGAAAAGTGGCTTGGACGCGCGTTTATCTATATACTCACGGGCACAATACAATATAAGGATAAACATTTTCATAAGTTGTACGTACCACGACAATTAACTCCTAGATGTATTAAATCCTAGCACTGAAAAGTTAAAATCCCTGGAAACCCGCCGTATTATTGCGTAAACACAATAACACAATAAACGAAAATGGGTGATTATGCCGGTCAGGAGGCGCAACCGAAAATTCGACGTCGATTGTTTCGGTATAATTAATTTCAGACCGCCAAATTATTGTGGATGAGCACCGTTCTCAGTAAATAGATTTGAATTACTATACGAACGACACGCGCACTCCTTCCTAGGACGCGACTGGGGTATAAATCAAACATCGGTGGGTTAGTGACAGGGGTAAAAACATTATATTTTAATTGACAATGCACCCACGAATGGTTTTGGCGCAGACTTAGATAGGTTAGGTTAAGTTAGGTTAGGTTAGGTTAGGTTGGGTTGAGTTTATATTAAATCCCCTCCCCTCTAAGGTCTAACCTTGACCACATAACTTACCAGTAGCTACTATACTTATTTATTATTACTTATACTGACTAATTGCCAAATGTTTTATGCGTGATGTGGAGGAGATGTGTTAGGATTTGAGTTTTTGATTTCTCGCCGTACGAATCGAGCGGACTAATCAACTTCTGTTCGTGCACACGTAACGTGGCCACCGACGTGCAATCAGTTTGTGTAACATATTACAACTTCAACGATAAATTCCGAATTTAATATACAAAAGGCAACAGCTGTTATTATGATTATTTTTTTTTTCTACGGTGAACCTTGCCTGTAACCCTGATTCTCTGGCTGCCGCTGCCGAGTACCCCACTTTACCATTTTTACGGCGTTATTAAAGTATTTTTAATTAAGTCACAACTTTAAATTGTTTTCGATGAGCGTCGCGCTTATTATACAAATACCAGAGCTAAATATTTACTAACGAGTTGAAATTTGTATCGGAATTCGTGTTGTTATTGTGAAGAAATTACACTGAATGTTTTTCGTAAGTTCTCGAAAAGAACTAATCACATCGAAATGCGACTGGGGAAAGGATAAGGATTTTTCTTCACAAAACAATTCACAACAACTTTATTATGGTTATTAAATATAAAATTTCTTTTAAAAAATATAAAATATTTTTCCAACGCTCGATGAGAAAAAGTGATTAAATGATTACAAAGTATAATGGAACTTCTATTGTTATTCATAATACCATTGATTATAAATTTATAATCAATGATTTCACCAATGAAATTAAAATGCATTTGAAAACGAACAATGTTTGAATCTCGATATCGGTTGAATCATCATTGCAGCAAATATTTGATGCTTGAATGACCTACAAAGTCTAAATCCGACTGATATAAAATATGCAGTCATGAAATTTAAACGACTTATAGATGAGTTATTAAATCAATGAAAAATAGATACATGTATTAAAATATCATATGTTTTTTATTTAAAAAAGTATAGAGATTACAATTATTGATAAAATGCCGAATAATACAAGACATTATTTATATCAATTTGCATTTCACAACGTCTGAAAATATTTAAAACAGAAATAGCGACAGCGAATTAGCGTGTTTATCTCATTTGAAGTATAAAATGTGTGCATAATAAAACAGTTGTTCTCTCAAATATTAACAGTAATTGTTCAGTAAATTATTGTACAAGATAACAAGTGTGTATTGTGTAATAACATAATAGCTACTATTTGTTTGTGGAATGGCGATAAGAACTTTAGAAACATAGCTTTAGTTTAAAATGAATGTGCCAAATAAAAATTATTTTATGGTAATTTTTCCCTTGATATACGCAGGACAGTATAAGTAATTTTTAGAAATAAATAATTTGAAACAAAGGTAATACACGACTTATGAATAACATAACGTTGTACAAGCAAAGTTATACGGCCGGGTTTACTTGGAAAATCTTGATGGGAAAAACAAAATTGAATAAGTAAAATTTTAGTTTTAATTTTACAAGTTATACAGTTAAGTATCAATAACTTGAACCTGAAAATGAAATTAAGAAATAAGGAGTTACAAAGACAACGTGAATATTAAAATAAATCTTTGAGAGGACCAAAAATATAATGATTTAAATTGTATAGGAGTTTCTACTGCCATTAGCTAAATGTATAAAAATAATGACATCATAACACGTCAATCGTATTCAATTTTATTATCATTTTAATGATTATTTGTCAAGTATTTATTGCTATTTTATTTTGAATCCAAAAAAAGTACATTTATAATCCCAATAACGGTGATAACGATTATTATTATATTTATTCAACTATGATGTATTTCTAATTATAATTTGTTTTAAAAGTATCTTATTGTCTTTGTAAAGTTAATTTACTTTTTGAAAAAGAAGACGGAGATATATGAATATCAAGCAATAAAACTAGAGTTACAATATTGAGTTATAGGTTTACTTTATATAATAACAATATTGAAACGGTGGCAGTAAATTTGGAATATTTTCTTTTTCTGTGGAAAAATACTCACGAGATAAAATTGGAGTTCAAGCTTTTCCCAAGAACCTTCGAATAACAAAGAAGGATTACTATCTAAAAATAACTAAAATTGCCGCGTGTCCTACTTGGATCCGCACCGTTTTAATTTTTCCCAAGAATCTCTGATGTACAATTACTATCGTCAACAACCTATTATACATTAGTACCCCTTACCAAAAGATACACAATGCAGCCGTTTCAAACGTTCATCAAATAACTGTAGCCATTATTATTTCAATGCCATACTTCTGAAATTCCTCCGAGAGACTACGTCAACCGTTTTATCACCCCCGCGTTATACGTATACATGCCAATACAATTCTTAAGGTTGGTTTACTATTCTGTTTTACTTGCGTAAACTGGCTGGCACAAATGTGATTTGCCAAAATATTTGAACGTATAAGCAGATATTTGGGTAAACATTTAATTTGCACAAGTAGCTTGCGTGAATTCTGGGAATGCCTGAAAAATCTACGGTCGGCAAAAATTAAAACATAAACACTGTTTATGCGCGTAAACGATTATTTGAGATAAGCATTAACACTGCACTCATAAATATGAAGATTCGCCAAAGATTTCAAATGGACTATATATTTCATATAGTAAATTATCGTTACGTGAAAGTCTAATACAAGCGTCTTTAAAAATCAAATTTCTTAAACGGATCGAACATTACAATATTAAAGTGCGTACCTGTTTGGTGAGTACATAGTAAGCATAGACCGCCATGGCAGTGCCGTAGGTGACGAAGTATGTGACCGGCTCCATTATGTCCCATGAATATTCCCACCAAGTGAGCCGAGCCAAAATACCAAACTGCACCGACATAAGTCCTAGGCCGACCCAAGTGAGTACCGATGTCTGTCTGCTGGCCACCAAGTCAATGGATTGTCGTTTCTAGAAAAAAAAAAAGAAGAAAAGTACTATTATATAATATGAACCGTTAAAACGGACGATAAAACGAAAAACAAGCCATTCGTGAAATAAACCACGCGTAAAATGTATTATAATACGCGTACATAAAATATTATTATATTTACGAAATGAAATTTCGTGCAAATAATAAAAATAAATCTTCCAAGATTTTAATTACGTTCGTTCTAGTTAAATTCATTATTTACATGTTATTAAACCTAATGTCACATATTAAAAATAACCCGTCAAATAATATGTGTAATCGCTTTATTTGACATGATTTATTATTACTATATTATTATTTAAAGAGATTTTAACAATAATAAAATTAATTTGCCGTTAAAAAACGACAATATTTGCGCGAACAACGATATATTATTTTTTGAAACATATTCCACAAACGAATAACATATACATTAGAAATAAAAACAATTTATACACATTAAAGTATTGGTAAAATGTATTTTTCTTTAAAAAATTAAAAATCACGGTCCGACTTTATTATTTTGAACAGGGAACTATTATTATTTAATGATCACGATAAGTACAGGTTATTCTGTAATCAAGCATTATATAAACCTTGTCGTGTTCGTTCAAAAGTCAAAATTACGTCTATGAATACGAATTATAGTTATTACGTAATGTTCATATTTTTATTCATACGGTCCCTGAGGGGTTTTCATTCTTTGTCAAAGGTTCGGTTGAAAAATATTTGTTGTGCATGCATAAATAAAGAACTTGCAGATAACAATATATCGCAGCATGGATAGAAAAAAAATATGTTTAGCATTGATGAACACTCTTATTATTGTGTACACCGTTTCGGTTATCAGACGGTTTCTTGGCACACGTCGAGCAGTGGAGTGTACGGTTGAAGTTTTTGTATGTTCAATCAACGAACCCCAAAAAACATATTACACATCGATAAATTTACACACGTACAAATGTATTTGCATCATGAGAAACGCTGTATTGTTATATGTGTACATATCTGCGTAATGGGGTCGTAAAAACGGAGTCGAATGTTGTCAATCGAAAAAGTATGGATTGTGTCGCCAAAAAATTATCACGCGCAAAGGTTTCCCGGCCCATTACAGACTTAGTGCGACGCAATACTATTGCAATACATAAGTATGTTTAGTACACGAGCGGTAGTGTGACATTTTTCAAACACGGATTCGGCACAAATCGATTTCATCCGTGACAACGCTATGTACCGCAGTAGCAACGATTGTTTATTGTTTTGCACATGATTAATGTGTTTGTTTTACGTTATTTTTTACTTGAAATCGAATCTCGGAAGAAACTGTAATCGCTACGTGTTACTTTTCAAACGACACGAAATATTAAATTATATAGTACAGAACAAACATTGCATTTACTTTGCCTATCTGTTTACACAATAAAATTATTCGCTCTTGTTTAAAAATTACTCTTGTCGATAATACCGTGTTACGCGTACAATGATCGGGTTTAATACCGAATGTCTATCCTAATCGAAGACTTTTTCGGAATATACTTACCGTAATTTATATATTTTTCAACAACGATTCCTTATTGGGGAAGAGAGAGTTTATTCGTAAGAACATAAAAACGACCCTGTATATACACTATAGGATACTGTAACGTTATTAAAACACTTATCAACTGCAGTTATATTACAGAATAAAAATCCATTTTGCAATAACATTGAACGCACTGTAATAAAATATATTATATTTGTGCATCCTTTGCAGTATATTATATGTGTTAGTTTCACGATCATATTTTATGAATATATATGTTAAAAGTTTGATTCTTTCGCAAAAAAAATTATGAATAATTGTGAAACCGCTTAGATTAATAATAAAATTTGATATAATACTTAAAATGTAACGTAAAATAATACTATCATTCAATGCCGTACAATGCAGTCGCGTTCTCGTACAGTTAGTACATATATGTACCGTATAATGATCAAGTTCATGGTTTGTTACGATGAATAAATAAATGTTTATAAACTATACACAGTTATATTAGAAAATATCACATATAATAATTAATATTATGACATGTATTTATTAAGCCATTAAATATTTTAAACTACACATAAATACTAATTAGCTATATTATAATGAAATTCAACATTTCATTATTGTTACAATCATGAATTCATGATAATCATTGTTATAATAGTTGGTAATAGCTGAAAACGCCATTTAAAAATAAAATATATACTGAAAATAAATAACAAAATGTATAGATAATAATATAATTGTTTTATAAGCTGAGATTTTAAAACGCAGATAAACAGTTACCTAAAGTTTTAATTTGCCATCATTAGTAATTATGCAAAATGTTTGAATACAAATTAAAAATAATATTTATTTTTTACGGCAAATTTTTTTTTTTTAATCGTTCTTCTAAAGCAAACACTATTTTTCAAGTTAAAATTAAAAATATGGATGAAAAATTCAAAAACTCGAAGTTGATGTTCATTAACAAATAAATAAAACCAGAAGAGTATAATGCACGTCTTAAACTTTATTTTTATCATGATTATAATTATTATATTTACAAACAAATTATTTAGTTTATAAGTATGGACTTCAAAATAGGAAATGTTTATAGTTCATAATTTTTTCTAGGCTAAACATCACGTATCTTATGCAATATTATTATCTATATGATTTACACGACAAACAGCAGTAGGTAAAATAAAAAAATTTCATTTTTTCATTTAACTTTACATCGTGTAAAAAATAATGTTTGAAATAATCACTACTTATGTAATATGTACATTGATCATTATAAAGTTGAAAACATTTTTACGTGATGACCATAATAATAGAGATTTTAATTTTATCAGAATTTTACAGATTAACAATTATTGTTTTGATTAAAATAATAAGATATTTTGCTTTCGTTCTCTATCTCAGTACTTCTAAGAGTATAAATACGTTTGACAAAGAGCACGCATTAATTAGTTTTGTTTGTTAAATTAGCCAACTTGCCAAACTCGTTCGAAACAATTATTATGCATAAAATATTATGTATGTATATTGTACGGACTATTAATATATATATATATATATATATATATATATATATATGTAAGAACGATAATGAAAAATATTAAAACGTCAAAAACATTCGAAAGTTCACTGCATTACTATTATTGTTAATATTACCATCTATATGGTTGATAAAAATCTTATTTGAAGCATAAAGTAAAAGTGATGTGATGTTAAATAACAAGAAATTATATGAATATTTTACGCTGTATGTACGCCTCATTATTAAAACGTGGTCTACAGAGTTATTTAAAATAATTTATATCTCACTGTAAAATTATAGTGATACTATGCAAGTACACTTGATTTTTAATACATACACGAATCTATGGAAAAATATTATGGTTACAATAACCGCATAATCAGTACTAACTCGATGTTTAAATATAACTAGAATAAAAAAATAAACAATATATAACCGTAATTGCGCGTAAAGCGGTATTCATAAAATACCGACAAGTTACAATAAATTATTATACAATAAAGTACGATGCTGCTATATAAATACGTAATAATGTACATCCTAATTTTGACGGTTTTCAAATAAACATAAAATTTATTACGAACGTCATGGCTCACGAAATGTCCTTTACGACTACATAGCCGCATTACCGAAATCACTAACAGACGTGACAGTCGGTTCGTTACTATTATCATTATCATCAAAATATATAATATATACGGACGTTTAATTTTGAACGATTGCGGTCTATGAAAGACAGATGAAAGGGTCGTTTAATGATTTCAACGAGTGCGTCGCAAACCGTACTGTAGGGATAGAGATATACAAGTAAATATTAAAGAGGGACATTACGCGTGCACCGCACGCAGGGATGATATTGCATAACGCACCGTCGAACGTCGACGCTTTCTAATAAAATACCTTTACGGCGATATTTCTTTCTGTTCTTTTTCTGACGATTTTGTGCAGGGGACGGGATATAAAGCAGAACGATGAGAATTTCAAACGATGATTTCGCTGAACAGCATCGGTCGATGGGGTGTGCACATTGTTGTACGCACAGCTCGAAGATAATAATATACATGAGGAATGATTGAACGCGAGTTGTTTCGGAAAAAGAACCGATTTAAATATGGTTTAAACATACTACGGACAAAATATATTACTATGGAAGGTACAAGAGCTGAAGGGAAACGCGCTTGTATAACATAATAGTTGATATCATCTCCTATAAAGCATAGATGAAAGGACAAACTTTGAACAAGACGAAGATACCTACTCAGTATTCGGTAGTGCTGGGGACGAGGATGAAATGATAATATATACGAGTAAATGTTTTCCGTGTGTTTATGTACGTGTTCATCTGAGTTCCGCATGCTACGCACGATAATATTATAACCATACGCGCCTACGGATTGAATTCGGGAATTTAAAACTATAACACAATGCCGTTCACAAAAATAGTATAATAACCGTTTGATTTTTGCGGTTGTAAATTTACGATTAAACGAAGTGTAATTTCTGGTTTTTATCCCGATTGTGTGAACGGCACACGGTAGTAAACGGCGAACGGACGGACGCGCGCGACCTACACTTGCATTGCGCCAACTCCATTGACTAACATAGCCAGTTGCATACGTGTTATACGTGTCATACGTGATATCCACTGCAACGTGACGTCTCGGACAGCTTTTTTGCATAAAATAATAATTGTATCTTAATAACTGTTCGTAATACAAACGGTATAACCGTATGCATTATGCAGTCGTCTGAGCGAAGTCATCAGTTATGTACGGATATCCAACGGTTACGCAGACGTATTTAATAGTAAACGCATGGCCCGTGAATTATAATATGGACGCGGGAAAAACTATTACACGTATAGGAGAACTGTAAACGAGAGAATTAAACATAATATTGTTTTTCTTGTACGCGATCTCCCAACAAAGTTAATATAGCTTAAACCG